TTTTTTAAGTATTCGTATCTACACATATGTATGATAAAATTATTATACTCGTAACTGAGTTGAATCTTTACATTATTTTTTGGAAAATCTTATTGAAATAGTCATTATTATCGATACAGAGACCGAATCTATAGTAAACGACGAACCCTAGCGAAGCAAGGGTTCGTCGCTAGTCTATACTAATATTATAAAGAGGTAAAGTTTGTGATATTGTGAGTTTGTGATGTTGTAGGGGGTAATCTCTGGATCTAGTAAACCGATTTAGATGAAATTTGGTAAAAAGATAGTTTGAGACCCTGAGAAGGATATACCTAGGATATATTTATCCCGGAAATCTATATATTATATATTTAGCCGAATATTTATATATTTATATGTCGGAATCATCCCTTAAGAGGATGAAAATGGGGATGAAAGTTTGCATGGCGAAGCAAGCTAGGGACGAACCCGAGCGAAGCAAGGGTGAGTTGCTAGTATGATATATAATAGCAATGACATCAGCTTTGTTTTACTCTAGTAGTGTAAAACCGAAATCCGCGAGGTAGAAAAACCACGATACTATAGCTACGCATAAATCAATGAACCATTAAAACAAGATCTATAGATATATATCTTAGGTATTTTATTAATTTAAATCACACAACAGTCTTTAGTCTTACATAATAACATATCAAGGAAAAATTAAGGATTATCCTGTTATAATTTAATTCAATTGTGGTATAAGAAAAATTTGACAATGACCTTCAAAATTGTAGTAAAAACATTATATCTTGCTGTGTGTTTAAATAAAATTTAGTACTTAATAATGTTAGCCTGACCGATTTCGGCCAAGGCTCTCTGTCTCGAATCAGAATCTCACTGAGACAGATGCGCAGTACCTAGATTTCATAGTGCAGCGCGTGTGTCGTTGTACGCGCAGACACAAAATGCTCTCTCTATTCCTTTTACTTTCATAGTCCGATGGGACGATACTTTGACATGACCAGTGAGAGTTAAAATTTAGTACACAACACACATAGACAACTAGCGACTCACCCTCGTTTCGCTCGGGTTTGTCCCTAGGTTGCTTCTCCATACAAACTTTCGTCCCCATTTTCACTCCTTTAAGGGATGATTTCTGGAATAAAAACTATCCTATGTCCTTCCCAGGGTCTCAAACTATCTTCTTACCAAATTCCATCTAAATCGGTTCAGTAGTTTCGGAACCTATTTGTTACAAACAAACAAACAAAATTTTTTTTCTTCTGTATAATATTAGTACCTATAGATAAACTAAAATAATAAATAGGTTAGTGTTTCGCACGAAACTGAGCGAAGCGTGGGTACCTAAGTCGTTAGTTAACTATACATATTATTAACTGCCTCGGTGGTGTAGTGGCTAGCATGTACGGCTGCACACCCGGAGGTCCTGATTTCGAGTACCAGGTCGGGCCAAGTTTAGTTATTGAATCTTTCTGTATAGTAAGCATCAGTAACATCCCGGAGTTGGGAAGTTGGCGGTGTTTCACCCCCGTGCCTCGGAGAGCACGTAAAGCCGTCGGTCCTGCGCCTTAACTCTCACTGGTCGTGTCGAACAGACATCCCACCAGAGTATGAGAGTGACAGGAATAGAGAGTGCACTTGTGTCTGCGCGTACACTTGTGCACTATAATATCTCCTGCGCAGTTGGCTAGTCTCAATGATGACTGGCCGCCGTGGCCGAAATCGGTCAGGAGAACATCATCATCATCATACATATTATGTTATTTTCTAAAATAAACCATTCTAACTTGGAGTTATGGACTAGATTCTAGATATTTGATAGTCTCTGAGTTAAATGAACAATTTTAATCACGTCAGTTACTCATTGTGTCATCAAAGAATATCGTGATTACATATCTCATGAATTTCTATACATACATAATGCAACATTGTTTTTACGGCTTTTATAAAGACAAGTGTAAACATCGTTTAAGTATCTACTGGTGATATGGTGCACGTTATAATTACTTAAAACTAGCTTTTGTCCGCGACTTCGTTCGCATGGTAACTGGCGCGGGAATCAAAAGTAACCATGTTCTTGCTAAATTTTATCGAAATTTGTTCAGTAAGGTAAGATTTTAATTTAAAAAAATGTTTAAACTCATCTATTCCATCTTTAAGGATCTTTCCAAAGATACCCTACAGGACTATCTTCTATAATATTATAAGGAGGTAAACTTTGTAAGTTTGTTTGTAATGAATAAACTAAAAATCAGCTGAACCGATCTAGATGAAATTTGGTATGGAGATAGTTTGGGAGCCTGGGAAGAACATAGGATAGTTTTTAACCCAGAAATCATCCCTTAAGGGGATGAAGGGGGGATATACAACGCAACATACCTATGTATATACTAATATATAATCTAACTATTCCATAATAATAGGTAAAAAGTACCTACCTAGTGACAAACCCGAGTAAAGCGAGGGTGAGTCGCTATTATATACGAGTATATGTACATAAACTCAACATCTCTTCTTCATCCCTTAGTTACGAGTATATATGGCGATACCTATATTATTGATTTTTCTTCGTAATTACTTTACCATAGTTTAACGGTTCACATATTTTCTTACCAAATATCAGCTGTAGGTATAGTACCTATAAATAGTCTTCAAGTAAAATGGCTGTGGCATACTTATAGACCGGCATAATATGTGTTGCGTGTTTGGGATAAAAAGTAGTTTTCGTGGTATATAAATATATATGAAATGATAGAAACAGTTTGTTTTTCCTTAAATAAAAACTTTTTATACGTTATGTAATATAAGATTTGGAATAAAAATTAGATGCAGTCAGTGCCTAATAAGTCCAAGTGACTACTTATTAAAGTTCTATACCTATATTGCTATATAACATTATTTTTAGATACAAATCTGAGAAAATCTGAGACTGAGAAAAAGTTTTTTTTTAAGATATGTGGTGCAGCGTGGACTATAGCCTTATCCCTTGATTAGAATTGAAGCGAAGCGTGTGGTCAGCAGTGGCGCGTTAAAAAAGCCTGAATATAGATAAAAATATGTAAAAAATTTACAATTTCATTTATAGCAGAAATCAGTTTTACATATCAATTTCCTTTATGAGTAGCAATAGCTACATAATATCTAACTTTATTACTTTACTAGCGACTCACCCTGGCTTCGCTCGGGTTCGTCCCTGGCTTTATTCCTCATACGAACTTTCATTCCCATTTTCACCCCTTTAAGGGATGTTTTCGGGGAAAAATATCCTATGTCCTTGCCAGGGTCTCAAAATATCTCCTTACCAAATTTCATCTAAATCGGTTCAGTAGATCCAGAGATTACCCTCTACAACGTCACAAACTCACAATATCACAAACTCACAAACTTTACCTCTTTATAATATTAGTATAGATATTTTATACCTTTACCACATAAAATGTGGAAAATGAATGCGTAGGCTTCGATATCGCTGAGCCATAGAGATCCCAGAATAAGACAGACAGAACACTACAACATGAATAATCTGTGATAATATTATTGAAGTTACAAACATGTTGCAGGCTGAAATCTGTTTTCTTTTTCTTAATACTTAAAAAGTGTTCTAGTTAAACATACGAACGAACAAAATTAGTCTTCAAAAATGTCAACCCGCTACCTTTAGTTCAAAATATACTTTCTATTAATTTTAGAACCGTCTATCCTATCTATGCACAGTGGGCTTAAAAATCAGTACACGTTGAAGACGAAACCCAAAACACTAAGATTCCTTTAACTTTTTATTTCGTGACTCTTTTCTTCTTTGTAGTGATTATTTATTAGCTGTTTTAATGGGGCTTGGGAAACCAAGTGAAGTGGGTTCAAATCGATATTCATCGATTATCGATCTGATATTTTCATATGCGAATCATTTCTAACATGATTACCATTTGCCTTACCTGAGAGAACCTAGCAAGTTTTCGAAAGACATGTGAAGTCCGCCAACCCGCACTTGGCCAGCGTGGTAGACTATGGCTTGATTTGGAAGCCCGTGCCCAGCAGTGGGACGTTAAAAAGGGCTGAATACATCAAGTTTTTGCTAAAAATATTCTTAGATAGAATTTAATCCAGTCTCTAAGTCAATTATTTCTATCAGTGGCATTGCCATTTGGCAATCCTTGAATGCAAACCTTGAATGAGTCCTGTATTTGCTTATTCAGTAATGAGATAGTCAAAGTAGTATAACTAACAATCACCTTTATCATTACCAATTACCATATATTCGAAGGCAAGATGCGTTTAAGAAGTTTATTAGCGCCTCACTTTACATGTACATATTATAACGTAATCTTGTATTTATTGAAAAAGTATCATTATATCTAGCAGAATTTGAAGATTTTTTTTTAAATCCTCTCGTATATTATCTCTATTAAAATTATAACAGAGAAATTATAAGCATATATAATAAGTATATTTCCTGAGTTACTTAGAAGGTTCTGTAAAAGATAATTGAATGAAAAATGTCTGATCTTCATTATACCTATTATACACCTACTTAGTAACAAATATAATCCAAGGAAGTAATTTAAATGGTAAATAAGATATTCTTATGAGTTATTTATAATATGTTGCTATCTATACTTAATATTATAAAGAAAGTGAAAATGTGTTTGTTTGTTTGTTTGTTTGTTTGTTTATCCGTCTTTCATGTCGAAACGGAGTAACGGACTGGAGTGATTTTTTGTGTGGAAATACTCGTAGTTAAATGGCTGGAGAGTAATATAGGCTACTTTTTAACGCAGAAGGTTATCTCTTTCCCACGTGAAAACACATTATTATACAACCCAAAAAAATATTTATGATCAAAAATACTTGAAACTTGGTATCTGCCAATCACGCCAATCTGTCATTCCGTTTCAATGTGAAAGAAGGACAAACAAACAAACACACTTTCACATTTATAATATTAGTATGAATACATAGTTCGCTATTTGGTTGTAACCAATCAAATTTAAAAGACTTCATGTAAATTATCTTTACAGTTAGGCGTAGCTCTCGGGTTCCTGCTGCCGCCGATGCTGGTGAGGGCGCAAGGAACTGTCGAGGAAATAGGAGCTGATCTACAGTTCATGTTCTATCTCATTGCTGGCATCACTAGTGTGCTGTTTGTTTTCATCCTTCTATGTAAGTATTTTATAAATTTTATTTTGTGATTTTAATCTTTTTGATTATTATAAATTAATTCGCCTCTCAGTGTAATTTGTCTCTTGAATATGCAATCCAATGATTGAATAAATTGAAATTTGTGTACAAAACCTACAAAATTATTAACTGTAAAATGTTACTGCTAGATCTACAAGTAAATTATATTGTTTGGGTGGCGGTTTAAAATGCAGTTATTTTTGGTACCTTCGTCTGATTAACTTATTGTTATTTATTTTTATTTATCTTGGATGTATTTCGAATTTCAACCGACTTCAAAAAGAAAGGAGTTCGTTTGTATTTTTTATGTTTGCTACCTCAGAACTCCGTCATTTATTAATCGATTTGAAAAAAAAAGGAAGTGGAAAAATAGCTAATGAAAATTTAACCTAATTCTAGTTATCATATTGACTCGAAACTTTGTCCTTACGTTGATAGTGCAGTTATTATTAATAAATACATATTGGTATTTAAATAATATTCAAAATATATGTAATTGTAACACCTTGGAATTAATGTGATCGCTTCGAGGCCATTTCATGTTAGATATTATTGCAAATTTATAATTTATATTCAGTCCCGTGGAATGTCTTTCTCATGACCGAAGTTTTTTCTTTATGAACTACTGGTTCACTGATGACGTTAATGCTGAATAAGATAATTTTGACTTTGAAAAAGTTGTTGGGACACCATTTTTTTTAATATGTTGGAACATTAACACACAGCACCATCTAGTTCCATAGTAAGCTACGAGGTCTGTGTTATGGATACCAGATAGTTGATACACTACACATGTATTCAGTGCCGGCTTATACATGGCGCCAGGTTATACAAGGCGCCGCGCGCGCCAGCTCAACTTAACCATTTAATTTGAATACTTATTTTTATCGATCTAAAGGAAAACTAGACTCAGCGATTTATCGTATCTCTCACTAAATAATTCTACATACGCGTTTTTTTAATTGTAATGAAATAAGTACACCTAAAAGGGAATGACTCGCCCGGGGCGCCCAGATGGCTAAGACCGGTCCTGCATATTTTACTTTAAATACATACATATTGCATATAAATATAAACACCCATGACTGGAGTACAAATATCATCACACAAATGAATGCCCCCAGTGGGACTAGAACCCGCGACCTGTGGTACAGCAAGTAGCCAAACGTGTCGTCAATACACTTATGAATATTACTTACAGTCTTCAAAGCTGCTCCAGCTACGCCGCCATCGGCGGCTGCGGACTTCGGTTCGAGCCTGGACTCGAACTTCTTCCAGTCCATCAAGAAGCTACTGACCAACCGCAATTATATTCTACTCCTCATCTCTTACGGTCTCAACGTTGGAGTGTTTTACGCTATTTCAACACTCCTCAATGAATTAGTACTTACGTATTATCCGGTAAGTCATGTCGAATACTGTATTTAGATTGAAGCTCTTTTTCTTCCTTATTATATTTAGTAGTACAAAAATATTTGGGAATAAAAATGGACAGATTAACATGTGTATAGTGTTATTAATAATAATAATTCAGAAGATGAATGATTATATATTATTAATAACACTATATACCAACACTTTATAGTACTACTTTAAAGGAAAATATATGGTAAGATTTTTTGTGTGTCCTTCTCCTACGTAATTTCTAAAGGTTTGACGTATTGAAAGGAATTTTAAAAAGCTTTCACATAAATAAATATATAACATTCTTGAGATTGAGATAGCTATATTTTAAATTCCCGTCATCCACTAAACCTCATTTGTACGAGTCTTTTTGGCATTTTATATATATCTTTATTTTATTTACAGGGGGCTAATGAAGATGCAGGACGTATAGGCTTGGCCATCGTCGTAGCGGGTATGGTAGGGTCAGTTGTGTGTGGTCTCATCCTGGACAAAACCCATCGCTTCAAGGAAACCACTCTGGCGGTGTACGCTGCGACTGTAGTGGGTATGATCATCTTCACTTTCACCCTGGACTGCGGGTACATTGGTGTGGTGTACTTCAGCAGTATAGTACTAGGGTAAGTTTGGACTTACAGTATCATTAAACAGAGGTCGTAAGTTCGATTTTTAAGAATGATAATTGTCTATAAGGATTAGGTAGATGTTTGTCCGATACCATTAAAACATAACACGATACAGGACACAATTGCATCACAAAGAATGTTGTCCTTATAATGTCACACTACTGTTACCGTTACAATGTTCCCTCATGACTACATCTACGTAAATAAAAATAAAATGCTCTTTGTTGGGGCTTACCAACGGCTGTGAAACTTGAGAACGGCTGGACCGATTTTGCTAATTGTTGTATGTTTTTAAATGTTCGTCATTTTCTGAATAAGGTTTGTAACCGGAAAAATTTGGGAAAGTTTCCCGGGAAATTGTTTAAATCGAGAAACAATTAAAGCACTTTTTGCTCTAGAATGTATGAAATCAAAGTATAGAAATAAAACTATCGAAATTAAAGTTAGCTAGTAAATAACTATACTATATCAAAATATATCGAATTTTATACTAATGAATAAATTATATTCACACTTTAGAAACAATATATAGGTATAGGTATCTAGCAGGAAAACATTCAAATGTGATCGGACCTTGAAACATGTTTTAGCATTTCTTTTTATAAATACGTACCGGTTTATAACATATTATGTGAATGAGGCTTTTGCTGTGAATTTCCAGGTTTTTTATGGCCGGCTACTTGCCCGTTGGTTTCGAATTTGCTTCCGAAGTCACTTATCCGGAACCTGAAGGTACTACGTCTGGAATCCTCAACGCTTGTGTACAGGTAGATAAAATTAATATGATTCTATATTAAGTACATCGAGCTAATGAAATAGGTATATATCTTTATACCTTATAGAAGTCCATAATGTATAAAGAAAAAAAGTTTGAATAAATGGCAATTATAGATGTTAAATGTATCGATTCGCTCTTATTCTTTATTTAAAAATAGAAAAATAAAAACATATCGCCAAAAGGTCTGTTTTAGTTTAAAAAAATGCATTATGTAAAGAAATATGAAATAACGCGTTCATAAATCTTTTCATAATTTTTCTTATGATTGGACAATCAGCCATTTGGTAATGATTTAGTAGGTACCTACTATATTATACATACATATAAAATAGTGCTATTTACATTTTATGATTTTTATGGGAACTCACGGATAAAAATAATACCTATAAGAAATATAATGTTTGTTACTAAACGTAGATTGAATTTGTTGTTATATTTTAAATATATATAAAATAAAGTTTCCTTGAACAGTTTGCATATCAAGGCAAACTGTTATTTATGCAAACAAAATTAGCAAATAAAAAAAGCAATATGGAATTACATTGCGCCATGTTTTAGCTAAATAACAATTGCCATTATTTATAAAACTATTATTAGTTTAATTTTATCACACTATTCCCAATAGTATTATAAACACAAAAGCTTGGAAGCAAATACCTAAATAATTTGTTCATGCTGTAACGGCTCAAATAATTTGAGTCACTTTCGTAATGATATCAAGTACCTAATATATATATATATATATATATATATATATATATATATATATATATATATATATTATATATATATATATATATATATATATATATATATATATATATATAAGGCTTCCTTCTGTTAAAATATGACGCACCTACTTTACGAAATGAGGTGAATTAATCGAAACTACATATCTCTTCTCCTTGCCCTTATAACATGCTGAGTGAGGTCGACACAACGTGTTTCCATCTACTTCCCTCTATCAGAATCTAGAAAATATGTACTATATTTAAAGTAATATATCTCTAGGCCACACAGCACAGGCCACAGGTTTGACGATACGTTTCGCTCAGTTTGTAGTGACCTACTTGCTGTGCCAGCGGTCACGGGTTCGAATCCCGCTGGGGGCATTCATTTGTGTGATGAGCACGAATGTTTGTACTCACTTCAGTCATGTGTATAATTTGTATGAAATTAAAAAGTTATATATGTGTACCGTTTCAACTTTCTGGTATCCATAACAGAAGCCTCGTAGCTTACCATGGAACTAGATGGCGCTGTATGTTAATGCCCCACCATAATTTTTTTTATTTTTTTATTTCTAGGTATTCGGGATCGTGTTAACCCTGTTATTCGAGTGGATGCTAGGCGCAGTGGGCGACCGCTGGGCTAACCTGGCATTGTGTGCGCTGCTCGCTCTGGGCACTGCGGTCACCGCTTGCATCCGCTCCGACCTGAGGCGACAGGCTGCACAGAATAAAGCTTAATTTAAATTATAATTCATTTATCTATTAATTTTAATATTACATTATGATTTAGGAGTCGCTTATCCGAGAAAGGGCAGGGTTTTTTCCTGTGTACACCTTTTTTTTTACTTTGTTTTCGCTGGGGAAATCCATCATGGGGACCCTGCCGCCGTCATGGGCAGGGTACTGTGAGACTCCTACTCACTAAAACCCACTCCTGTGTACACCATAAGCCAACCAAATAATTTCATTTTAGTTGTTTTTTAAAGAAGTTTAATATGTATAGTACACGATGTAGTTGATTGATAAGCGATAAATTGATATTTATGGTTTGTGTTTTGTAATTTAACTATTGAAAATCTTATTTGAAGTGAAAGTGAATTGGAAGAAAGTGCCACTTTAAATGAGCCGTGATTTTAATTTTTTTTTGTTTTTTTTTTGGTGTGGATACGGTGAAGTTCTTAATGTTTTTGTATAATAAAATAATAATTGACGTTTTGTAAAATATAAATATGATGTTTTAAATGATTCAGTATAATTTTATTGGCGCGATATTTTTGTATGTCAAGGAAAACAAAAACAGTTAATATGCTCTAATGATGGCAATATAAATGAATCTCAAGCTTAACATAATACATTAAATAGTGTCTCGTAACATTTCATATATTATTTATTACTTAACTACCAATAGAAACCTGCCTTGTTTAAGGGTTAAAAAAAACATAAAACAATTAAAATGAGAAAAGAGATATGCACAGACTTTTGCTGTCTCTCTTAGTTTATGACATCCACTTATAGGTACTAGCAACTTATTAATATATACTACAGATAGACAAATATTTAAAAAATATGTTTTTCTTATAAGAACCATAAATAATTTCATATGCATTTAGTAAAAAGCTGTTATTTTAACATTACAAACAGACACTTCAATTTTATTTATCTGTATAGATTAGATTGAAAAGCCAAAAAAACCTGTAACATATATGTATGACGTTACAGTGTAGTTTTCCTGGACAACACTAATATGTTTTTGATATCGAAATAGTTAAATTATTTTCTTTTAGTGAAGTGAGTTAAAGTGATAAGTCTTTCTTATAGATATTTAAAAAAATATATTATCAGATGAATATTTCCATTGTATTGAATTTATTATACCTATGAATGTATTAGCTTAAGTCATTAAAATTTGTAAATGTTTCGAGAATTTTAAAATCGAATATTGGATGATATTTCTTTGAGAATAGATATTTATGGTAATGTCTTTATAAAAAAATCGCTTGTTGGCTTTTGAAGCTTCCTAACATTTCTATCGTAGATTATAAAATGTTTCACGGCGACATAATATGTATAACCATTGAAGTTGTTTTATATAATTAAATGTACTTTTAGACGTTTTTGTAGAAATTTTACCAAAAAGCCTACATTCCAATGAGAATAATAAAGAAATATAATAAATATGTATTAATATATATATTGTAATAATATTGGGACATTAACGGAATAATGGAAAGATTTTAACCCCTAAAATTTAAGGTGTGTAAACGTGACAATAATTGTGTGAGGGAAATGCGAGTGGATATTTTATCTTGTATACCAAGGTTTAGCCTTTAGGATTCCAATAATATTTGTGATAGAGTAGATTTACAAGTAGAAGTTGAAATTAAAGAAATATAATAGATGTTTATGTATTACATTTTTGAGAATTTTTTCAATAATTCATGTTTTAGAAGTTAAAATGGCGAGCACTTATTGTATATTAAATATTTGTATATGGTAACATTGGACTGTTGGATGCAATGGGTGGTTTCATGCGACACGCAGTAGGTATAACGTTGAGAAGAAAAGATTATCTCGGCTTAATTATAATTTAGAATTTTTAACTATTTCAAAGTATAATATATGGATGAAATTAAACCAAACAGAGCCATTTAGGATATCAAATAGACTTTTACAAGGACTTTTGAATCGTAATATTTTTTTAATTTAACTTAAATATTAACAATTTAATCTTTTGATATTACCACTGACGAAAAGTCGTAATGAAACCTCTTCCGTTTGAAGGTAATTCACTGACGGCAAGTAAAAGGGCGTTTTCCAATTACAGCACTAAAGCGCATTATGCAATATATTGCTCAACTTCGAATACAAACAAAAAAAATATAAGAAGTTTTTTTGGCGTTGTTTGTGTTTGTGTGCCAAAGTGCGGCATTATGTTCTGTAATTGGAAAACAGGGAAAGTATAGTTTAAAATATCTACAGACAAATAAAATATCTAAAGTAAATGGGACTGTCAGTGTTACGGTTGAATCATAGACATAGAGAGTGTTTTTTGCCAGCCTTATGTTATAAATGGCAGAAAGGCGCGACAGAGACAAAACGAATGTTCGGCCAGAAGTCCTCTGTATTAATTGAAACACGAATAATGAAGATTATATATTTATAGGTAACGATTTCGCATTCCATTATAATATCATAATTTTTAATAAATTATAATATCATATTTATTTACATTCCATTTATAAATTTAACTTGGAATAAAAGACAGATATTGGCCGCGCGTTCGCTTTCTCTCTTTCTAGAGAGTGGTCAATTTCATGAGAGTATTGCTCAGTCCATACCTCTATGTCTATGGATTGAATAAACACTTCTTTAAATTGCAAAAAATAGTCACTGGGAAGACCTTAAGAAGAGATTTATTTACCTTGTACGATTATTTAAATTTCAACAAAATTATTTAATTTTTTATCAGAATAAAATAATAAGAAGAGCTGTGAGTTAGTTTTGATATTGTCGTATTTATTATTATTACCTAAGTACTTTAATATTAATTCTGCACAACTTTTGCATTTAGCCAAAATATGAATAAAGTTTCTGTATACTCTATAGAAATAAAAATCCGCGCTATGCGCTTGAGAGCTTGGTGGTAAATAACTGAAGAATTTACTTATTTATTGCAATCATATTTATATGCTAACGCTTTGATATTTATTAGGCAGACCGTAATTTTAATTTATGAATAACTTGAAATCTAAGTTGAATTTATTATACATACTTAGATGGCAAGTGAGTTGTAGGTTTAAGCAATTATAGGATAGATTGATCGATTGATAAACATAAATATCTTTAACGATATAGTTTATGGCAGCTTTTCTTTGAATTTACAAGAGGATAATTTATCAATATTATTTATTTAATTTTTTTCACATATTTTTTTATATTACAAAAATATATGATTCATGTATAAAAATCACGTTATCATCGAAACTCTACATAGCGCAATGTTTGGGCGAAAAAATGGATTGCAATATAATATAATATTTTGCATCAAGTTCAATGATTTTCATAATTTATTATAATTTGGTCTGAACTTAATAAAATGCAGCGATTTAAAAGAAATCGACACAACGAAGTAAAATTATTCTTCATTCGACAATAAACAAAACCAATTATATTTTTTTTATACTGACCGGTATTGGAGCTATTTCCATCTTTTATACGGATATTATTATGTATGTAATAGTTCCTATGATTTTTCAAACTTGCAATTATCAAAAAAAGGCTTGTGATTTAATTTTATCTTAGAAAAGAATATTTTGAGCTGTGAATGTTAACAATCCAGTATTATTGTATTTTAGGAGAGATTTTATTGATAAATGCTTTTAAATTAAGTTGTTCAAAATTAAATGTGTAGGTACTACCTATAAAACTACCATATCTCCTCAGACTAAAGAATTTTAAATACGGAGTCCGCCAAAACGTCAATGTCAAAAATAGTTACGTGATTTGTTGTACTAAGCTACTATTTTTGATTTTGCGATACAGATCATTTAAGTACTTTCATTAAAGGATTAGGAAAATTTCATATATGTACCACTTTTATTAATTAATGAATGAATTAAATAAACAATGTTTGAGAATAAATGAAATGTGAATAGTAAAAATAATATAATCTTACTATTTTATATTTTTTAAGCATTACATTTAGCTTTATGCTTAGATACATGACGCTCTGGCTGACTATTATTCCTTAGTCTGAGATTATCTTCAACAAATTATTAATTGCATTTTTATTAAATAGGTACCTATTTAAACAGTAATTTATTATCGAATAGTAAAATTATTTTTAATTACTTAAAATGATTATAGGAGTCGTGCTACTAATTACATTCCTCAATTTAAAAACAAATAGGTATATATTAAAACTTTAATATTATGACCTAACCATTTTTTCTTACTGCGTACCTATTCCAAGAACATAAAATGAATTGAATTGACAATAAAATAAATTCGTAGATGTTTTATGTGTCGTATAATACGATATTTACTCAACTTAATGTATACACACATATTTACATATTGTGAAGTAGTTATTATTTTTATGGCAGTCTAAGACGTAATAATATGGTAATTATTGTTTGCTTTGAAAATTATTGTATAAAAATGTGTATGTCTCGTATATTGTTTTCGCTTTATCTACAACTTGTGTAAGATTATTAAATAAAATATAGCAATTGTAACTTCTGTCTTCTAGTGACGTGATTAAGATTTTGTTCAATAAAACCTGTTCATGTGTAATTAACGTGTTGTTTTATTTTTAGTATTTTAAATTCTATGCGAGTCGATTTATTAAGATAATAGATTTTCATTTCACACTAACACTGTTAATTGAATAATGAATATGAAATTTGAATGTTCCCGCGGAAATGTTTTGTTTCTCGACACTAAAATATATATTAATTTTACTTATTACAAAAATATTATTAAAAAAAACTAAGAATAAGTAAATTGTGTATAATGTATTAAGTAGTAGTGATTTAGAAATATAGATTATAATTAATTTAGGATTCTTTACTTATTCTATTTACAGTTGTTATTTACGAACGTTATCTTTGTTTTGTTGACATTGACGGCAAAACAGTTGCTATGGCGGCATATTTGTAATATGTATTCAATGTTTTGATTCGTAAAACGAAAAAAATCAATCGTTTATCGTACCGCTAATATAATGTAAAAAACTTAAGTAGTATTTGCAAAATTTATAGGGAATTAAAAATGGTCATATCCTTATTGAATAAGCTTCATTATTAGTTTTGTAAGTGCTGGTCAGTTGAGTTCATTCATTTCAACTATGAACGATAGTAAAGAGAAAATCTCACATTATACTTGTAAAAACCATACGGCTAGATCTGAAAAAGGTACGTAACTTATTTTAAATAAAGTTTTTTAAGTAATTGATCTAAGTAAATTACCATTTTTTTAGATTTATTTAGAGTATGCCCGTCAAAATTAAGCAAAGAAGAATTGGAAAACCTTTATTTTGCATTATTAGATAGTAATATACAACAGAAAAAAACGATAAACACTCAACGAGATCAAATTAAAGTTCTTAACACAAAAGTTCATAGAATGACTGCTCAAAAGTATGCACCTGCTTGTAACAAAGACTGTTGTAGTAGTAGTATGGCAATAATAAATGAACAAAAAGCAACGTAAGTATTTACTATCAAGAGAATTATATAATGCTAAAATTGAATTTAAAAAAAGCTAAGCATGCAAATTGTAGATATAATGTCAAATAGAACTTTATATACTTAAAATAAATTATTAATAAAATAAATTTCAATTTTTCACTAAATTACTTTAATTATTTTAGAATAGCAGATCTAAAGAAGACAAATGAGAGATTTTCCGAAAGAATTAAGACCCTAAATATGAGACTTTGTTCAGCAAAGCAGTTCCTGAAACGTAGTCCACAATCGAACTCTTACTGCACAAAATGTCATACTTCCACTCCATCTTTTAAGTAATATACATAATATAGTCATTAAGTACAGTTAGTGATTTTGTATAAAGCATTATAAAGAGACTTATAGGCCATCATAGAAACTGAAAGAAATTTACAGTTATACTAAATAATTGCCATACAAAACATTGAGCTTGATTCTTATAACCTAAAAAAGTTTCTCATTTTTAAATTTAGTTTATTTATATTATTCCCTTCTAACATTGTTAGATTAACAATTGAAAAATCAAAAATAAAATGGATAATCCACTTAATGTGGAATTGCATTTGATCATGATAGTTTCTTGTACTTAAACCAATCTTAAAATAAAAAATTCATAATTTAAACATTGGAATTCAACTTATAAAAATAGTGTCAGAAAGCATACCCAACAACATTAATCTAGGTGCATTATTTTAGGAATTTATCAACTAGCGCTTTATATACAAAAAGAAGTGAGAGTAACCTACAGGCTGCGGCAACATCATCCCAGTTTCTTGATAGGTTGGTGTTCAATATATCTTACATTCATAAAATAATAAGAACTTGTGACTACTAATATAAATTATGAAGCTAAATCAATTAAAATTTACAAAACAAAATTTGTTTAATTTTAAATTTGAATAGAAATTACATAAATTGTATAGAATAAATAAAATGTTACAGGGACAAAGTACCAAACAAGATGACACAGATTGCTTCCACACAAGTTGATATGTAAGTAATTTTTTTTTATCTGAATCTAAACACCTTCAGGTAAATTTCTAAGAGATTAATTAAAATTCTAAGAAATCTATTGTTAACTGACACGCCGGCGAATCCGGGGTCGTGGAGGGATTAATAGAATTAAAATATTAAATTAATACACTAAAATGACTGCACATCACTTTCTTATGTAACTAAGATTTTTTTTAGCCAAATGTGGTAAAGTGGTGTCATAAGGTTATGTAGATAAACATAGGAAAAACATCAAAATGACTGATATCAGTCCCCAATTTGGGTCTTAAAAATATTTTTGTTAAGCCTTTGGAGTGGTGGCCACAAAAATATACACCATCTTTAATATGACTTAATTTGTCTAATTGGCCTGAACTAAAAAACTGTAAAAGGACAGTCAGCAGTTTATCACAATACTATACTAGTTTTAACGACATGTTTTGCTTAGTTTGTAGTGATCCTACTTGCAGTGCCAGCAAGGTAGCAGGTTTGAGTCCCGCTGGGAGCATTCATTTGTGTGATGAGCATGTTTGTACTCCAGTAATGGGTGCTTATATTTATAATATGTATGTATTTAAAGTTATATATGTGTAGTGTATCAACTATCTACTATCCATTACAGAAGCCTCGTAGCTTAACAAGGAACTAGATGGTGCTGTGTGTTAATGTCCCAAAATATTTATTTATTATACCTTATGTTTCTTTTTACTCTAAAATTATTTCAGGCATACTTAAAATCTCGCAAATTCCACACTATTTATAATGTTTTAGGACAGCTCAAGATGGAACATGTCAGCAGAACAAATGTCGCACTACAATGGATGAGTTGAAGCAGAAGATTGCTGATTTGGAAGAGGTGTTATTTTGCTTCGTCTTGTTTTTAAGTTCTAACCGACTTCAAAAAAGGGGGTTCTCAAGTTTCTTTTTGATATACGAACATGTAACGCAATATCTTTGCCAATATCAAATCTATTACTTTTTTAAGAATAGTTTATACGTCAAGGGTTTTTAAACGGTTTGTATTCGGCCTTTTTTAGTAGAAAAGTAATTTTTATCTGAAGACTACAACTAACTTTCACGTGTATTCCATTTAGCTTAGTAAAAATAATGACAGACATTTAACGAGTAAATTCTTTCCAGGAGCTAGACAAAACACATAAAGGATATTGTGAACGCCTAAACAAATTGGAAGCAAAAGTGAACTCGCTGCACGGAGAGAATGCTCGCGTGCGTGCGGAGAATACTAGCAGCTTGGAGAAATTGCAAGGGAAGGAGAAAGAGAGTACGGTTTTGTTGCAGAAGTTGAGGAGTACTGAAGCTCAGTGTGGTGAGTTACATGTGAACGTCACTACACAATATATCTTCTTTTGTGGTATGCAGTAGCAAGTCATTTGGTCCTAGATTCGAGTCCCATCAGATAGTAGTCCTTGTTCCGTTGGGAAATAGTTATGGGGTTATTTTATTATTGAAATTTGGCAACTTGATTGAGATACAGTTTTTGTTCCCTTCAATTGGTCTCTTTTCGCTCGTCTAGAACATAATCTCTAAGGACTGAGAGTGAAAGAATGTGAGAGCGCGCATCTTGCGGGCTAAGAGTGCCGCCAACGCACATGTCGTATATTTCGCAAACTATCTAGACGTTTTCTTACACCGTAATGCCAAGTGATAATCGTCTGGAAAAATTGTCACCATGTATTACTGAAACGTAAGAAATTTGACATAAGACTTTTGTCGACACGTTTGGTTCAGTTTGTACTTTGTAGTGACCCTACTTGCTATGCCAGCGGTTGCGGGTTTAAGTTCCGCTGGGGACATTCATTTGTGTGATTAGCACGAATGTTTGTACTCCAGTCATGGGTGTTTATATTTATAATATGTATGCATTTAAAGTTATATTTTTGTAGTATATTAACTATCTAGTTTCATTACATAACATAATTTAAGCTTCGTTGCTTACCATAGAATTAGATGTTGCTGTATGATGATGCCCCAACATATTTACATATTTAAGAAATTCGTTAAGGTCCTAGTAATTAGGTCTCAATATGTAAGAGTTCCGAGGTTTTAAAGATTTCTATTTTTTTTTATTATAGATAATCTCAACGCTCAATTGATCATAGAGAAAAGTAAGGTGTCAGAACTTGAAACACAAGTGAAAGCCGGCGATATCTCAGAACAAATAGCTCGGGCTTTGGAGATTCACTTGAAAAGGGATGTTGTACGTATGAAATCTATACATTTAAATAATTCTAACTGAGTCGTATTTGTATATTAAATATTTTTTTGAAAATCTTATTGAAATAGTCATTATTATCGATACATATCTCATCTCTGAGAAATCTATACTAAACGTTAAAACGTAACTTTGTAGTAACGTAAAGTTGTAATAATAATATGACCCAAGTTTTGTGACAATATGTGAGTTGTGGTTTTATTTAACAAATATTTAGATCAAGAGACCTTCATTGTTATTTTAAATTAGCGACTTTCCCTCGTTTCGCTTGAGTGCGTCCCTACGTACATGGATTTTATTCACAATTTCATTGGTTTCAATTTTTTGCGCGGAAACCTGATTCTTTTTCTAAAATAAATGTAGCCTAAGTTGTTCCTTACATATATCAGCTGATGAGTAAGCAATAAAAGTTCCCTCCAAATCAGTCCAGCCGTTTCGGAGATTAGCCGGAACAAACAGACACACAGAAATTTTCAAAATTATGTTTTTCTTAAAAGTACCGTATACAATTTTATATCTATTCCTCCTTTATATGTTTTTTCGACACCTGCAAAAAAAATATTGTAACTCACCCAGTATTGAAATAATTTAAAACGAAAAATTCTTTGTCATATTCATATTGAACGTTGTAATATCGCTGTCGAATCGATGTGTGTATGTATGTTCCCTAAGGACTCCAAAACGGCTGAAGTGATTTGGATGAAATTTTTAGGCAATCTTCAGATTAGCCCAGCGGGTGATCCTGTGAAGTTTGTTAGCAGAAGAAACCGCGGGTACTGCTAGTTAGTTATATATAATATAATTGAGGTTAAAATATTTTTCAGTTACTAGTTCCCAACAATACCTTAGCATCTTGTACAGTAGAAAGTATAGAGAAATTTAATATGAACTCTGATGACTCTGGCTATGCTGAAATCAACAGAAGTCAATTTAACGATAAAAAGGAAAATAAAGATGAAGTATGTTATTAAATTATTTTTATTCATATTTATTCAGAAATAGGGCTTCATAACATTGTAATCTTATAATATTAAATGAGCAATATCTTGTATATACATTTATTTTGCGTATCTCGGAAACTGCTCTAACGATTTGGATCAAATTTTGTATTTACATAAGGTTTTGTTTTTTTAAATCTATCTACATATATTGGGGGTTTTTTCGAAAAAACACACGCAATTTTTTATTTTTTTTCCGAACAAACATAATTAAATATTATTTTAAATGTTGGTTGAGTTTTTCGCCGGCTCTTCACAGCAGAACTGCCTTCCGAGCCGGTGGTAGTTTCCTCACGTATTGACTACACTGACATTTAATTTTTTTAATTGTAAAATTGACGATTCAGAAGTGCTTGTGAAGGTCTATATAAATGAAGTATAATTTTAGTTGATTTAAAAAAAAAAACGCCACACGTGACACGACACTCGGTCGCCCAGACGTACTTATCAAATACTTTATAACAAGTTAAAACATAGTTTTTTTACGATTTTAATTACGAGAAGGATTTTATATAAGTTACCTTTATTGTTGCATATTCCTTTTACATAAGTTGGTTCGAGTCAAGGATTTTGATTGAACTCTACGTTTTATGCATTTTCATGTAAAGTTGGGAGAGGACCGGATTTACATATTCTTTTTAAAAATGAATATCGATATAACAACTATAATAAATACTACTACTATACTACTTCTGAGACGTCTAAAATCTTAGTTTCTCCTGTGACCATGATTGCTGTAAGTATTCGAAAATCGTAACGTCTGGAACCAAATATAAAAATAAATCTGCGAAAAAATCCGAAAAGATCTGTTGCGAAAAGTTACTTACAATCAGAGTATAGGAGGTATTATGAAAATATATATTTTTATTATGAAATAGCTGAATGTCAGACTGAATTGTTCTTCAATTTGGAAAATCTTACGCTCTTCTGCGCATAAGATTTGTGCAATAATTGTGTTAACAATATATATTTATAATATGTATATATTTAAAGTTATATATGTGTAATTTATTAACTATCTGGTATCTATAACACAAGCCTCGTAGCTTACCATGGAACTAGATGGTGATGTGTGGTAATGTCCTAACATATTTATTTATTTATTATTTAATATACTTTTTAGGAAATTCCTAAGTCTGATAAGGATATGTCACAACACATTGCTGAGCTACAAGCTCAGATAGATAGCATAAAGCATACTATGGTGAGTATATTTATATTAACTAACTTTAATAAGACCAGGCCTTATTTTGTATATATTTAAATGAATCGTTTTGGGCGTCGTTGAGTATGTAAGCGATCCTACGACGCTTCATTAAGACGGGGGAGGTTCCGTTGGGTTCCAGTGGGTAGTTCTGACATTTCTAAGCGACGAGTCTCACCTATACGTACGTGGGTGGTATTTGTAAATGCATCCCTCTCCACATTAAAAAAAATGGGTGCGTGTAACCTTTACGCGCGGTTGAAGTAAAACTTCTTTGGCAAATATCGCAATTAAATTAAAACAAATCAATAATTAAATAAAGCATATTAGGCATATTACAACCATATATTTATAGAATATCATATACGGAAAGAATATAACATTTTATAATTTGTGAGACAATAACAAGTAACAACTAATAATCATGGCAACATGGCAATGTATCCTTTCTCATTTTTTCGCCGGCTTAATCTTTTATATTTGTGCGCGTGTCTATTTAGTGTCGTATTTTCGTTTCATCGACTTTCATATCATAACGATTCTAAAGAAGTTTCACTTCAAAAAAGATAACATAGTTTTCTCTCTTTCTTATCTCTTTGCTAAATTTCATTCAAATACGTCCATTCGTTTTGGCGTGAAGTATTAACAAATAAACACACTTTTGTATTTATAATACTCTCATTTGATTACATAAGGTTTTGTTTTAAATCAGAAACAGCAAAACAGGAGAACAGCTGACATTATATCTGAGGATTCACCGCTGCAGGAAAAGTCCAACGAGAGCAATAAGGTGGCGGAAACTAGTTCAAGTTTAAGCAACCATATTTTTGCCACTCCTATGAAACACTTGGAACGATCTGATCAGTGAGTTATAATTTTCTTAATATGTTTTGTTTTTAGTGAAGGTGTTGGATATTTACACAATCCATCCCCCAAAATTGGGTTTCTGGCTAAACGAAACCATGAGCTAAATCTAGTAGTATACAATTGTATTTTACGGTTAGAAATATAATTTACTCACAAACTCACAAGCTTTACCTCTTTATAATATTAGTATAGACAAAATTTGTCATATGTATTGACTTACCCCTCAGTCACGCCTAAAAAAGTTTTACTGCAAGAATTATTTGTAAATAATTAATAATGCTGTTAACATTTCATTATTTTTAAGGGGTCCATCAACTTTGCGAAACAACATATTGGTTTCGACTGAAGACGTAGCAGAGCTCCCAAATTCTGGTCTGACTCTACAAAATATAAACAGTAACATCCCTCTGCCCATAAAAGAAAATTGTATGCCAAACGTACACAACACATTAAATTCGCGTACTTTAAATGATAAAATTGAAATAAAATATGAGGGAGTGAACGAAGTTGATAATGAGATAATATTAAAAAAATCTAATGATCAAAAATATAAAGAAAGTAAGATAAATGATGTTGAACCCAAGTTATGTATAGAAAAAGATTTCCCTGAGATAGATCCAAATTTTAAAACTTTGGACGCTTCACCTAATGGACGAAGTTCGCTAAAAAAGAAAGTAGACTACACTGAAGGAGATGTCGACGGGCAGTATAGTAATAATGAAAACGAAAATACGAACATGAAAATAACAGATTTTAAAAATAATGATAAATTTTGTAATAAATATAATAGTGAAAATAAATGTGGGATTGTTGAAAAAAGCGGAAAAGATTTTGACAATAAAATGAACGAATTATTAGTTTTTAATAACGATGCTGTAACTAAAGATGTTGCGACAGACGAAGAAAAATCATCGTCTAGCCAAAAAAGCGTGGGACAGTCTACTTTTGTTATCGAAACTAAGCAAAATCGGGAGACAAACAAAGATGCTAGTGTTGATACTGATGAACAAAACCTTAGTAAGTGATTACCGAAAATGTATATACATTATACATATTCTAATAATATTTATGCTATTTTTGTCCGTCTGAATATTCTACTTTTTATCGGGCAATATTGTTATCCTTTTGGTTTGTAACTACATAATTATAATCAAATTGAAAATTGTAGAAATAGTAAAAATGAATTAAAACATTCATAATTCTTTACATGAAGATCTAATAATATTGTAAATTTGCAGGTGTAAAAGCAAATAGTACGGACGAGCACAAGTCGGGGCGCACGTACTCGCTGGCGCGCGCGTCGCCCGACAACACCGACCGCGAGATATCCTCCTTGACGGACCTGCCTCGAGAGATCGATGGTAATCGGACTATAATTATTATATTACGAAGAAAGTTTGTACGTGTGCGTGTAGAACATAGAAAAAAAGCGTGTGTGTACAATTCACATATGGTAGAATTGAAACTTCAGAAAAGTAACCTACGAGAGAATAAGATGAGTAGATATAGAGATAGAGTATCAGAAGTAAGATAATTATAAGGTTTATTTTTTTTATATTTTTACCAAGTTTAAAAATTATTTTACATTTTATTTGACATAAATTTACATTATACATTATTCAGTAATTAATTTTATTATTTTTCACGTCCCGTGTAATGTATTCTATCTCAAATAATTAAATAAGCATATTAGGAATGTTGTAATATCATATACGGAAAGAATATAATATTATATATTTGTCACAGAATAACAACGGTTACCATGGCAACATGGCAAATGTTTTCTCTCGCCAGCTTAATCCTATAAACTTATGTGTTTGTCTCTTTTTAGTGTCGCATTCTCGTTTCATCGACTTTTATTAAGTCAGAATGATTCTAAAGAAGTTTCACTTCAAGAAGTGTGTGTGCTTGTGTACGTGTGGGCGTGTCTGAGTATGCTTGTAACTCTTTCACATTTAAACAAAAGGATTTGGATGAATGATTTTACCATAGATTTATATAGCAATAGCTACCTGTAACGTCTTTATATTTGCGAACTAAATTGACTTGAATCGAAGATAACTTAAACATCTAATTTTACAGTTAGTAAAAAAATTACAGTAAAAAATGAATTAAAATGAATGAATAAAATTAAAATATGAATCATTCGGTGCTAAAATAGTGTTTTCTTAGCGAAGTTATATGTTGGTATTCCAGACAGGGGCACGCGGTGCAGGTCCCCGGGCGAGGAGTGCGCTGCGACGCTCAGCGCCTCGTGCACGGCCGCCGACAGCGCCTCGCTCAGTGAGGGCGAGCTGCCCGTGTCTACTGGGGGTATTGGTTTTGTTTCATTTATTTATTAATTTAATTTATTTATTTGGTTCAGTAACTTTTACACTCTATGTTATTTGTATTTCTGTTGTAGTGTGACTAACGCTGTATGGTACTAGTTAGTTCACGTGTAAATATTTATTAATATCGCTTTTCTATTTGTAAATAATTATTTTATTTTTTGCAGTTAAAAGAATGCCATTAGCTGAAGTAGAGATGAAAGATAAGATGACTGAGTCTATCGGGTGAGTGGATCGCAGGAGTAGTATTCGTCATTTCCTATAGTGTAGACTTAGATATGCTAAGTATTTAATATTATAAATGTGTGTCTATTGGTTTGTTCTTCCCTAACGCAGCTTAATACTAGCAACTCACCTTTACTTCGCTCGGGTTCGTCCCTAGGTCCGTTTTGACAGTTAGTATAGAATAGATAGACTATAAATACATAAGTGATATATTTAATAAATATAAATTCATAATGATGAATTTTATATCCTTTACTTGAAGAATGTTTCGCTGGCATAGCAAGAACTACAAACTGAGCCAAACGTGTCGTCAAAATAATTTTAGTATGACTTAATAGGTGAATTATTTAATTTAACACATTCCAGGCAACAATCGTCAATATACAAAATGGAGGAAGCCCTGCACTCCATCAGCTCGGAGCTCGCGCGCTGCCGGCGGCTGCTGCGGGCGCGCGGACAGGTCACCTCACCCGCTGCCATACGGACATTCTCATACCCGTACATACATACATTGCCACTACAGTAGATTGTAGTATTATATAAGTATTTTAGTTATAAAATTAGTTTATTATTTATTTATTTAGTTTGTGATTTGTTGATCGTCTCTTTTTAGAGTATGTAATGCATATTAGGAAGTAAAATAAGACTGTATACGATACAAATATTAATTTACAGTTGCGTATAGAACGTTCAAAAATTTTAAATAATTTTAATGTAAAAAAACTTTTTTCGCACGCTCGACGTGACGTCACATTCGGTCTGACCAATGGCGTCGCGTTTTAACTACTTTTAATTTCCCACCTATATCTCCTTTAATTAAAAATAAATCACCTTTATTTAAATCACACGAATATCACCTATAATATTTAAGTTAAGGGCGAAGTTTCTGTTTCTTGAATTTATCTGGTGACAATTCGCGAAGATACCACATAATAAATAAAATATCTACATTTTTAAGTCGGTCAAAAATCGATAGAATCTCATAATATTTAATGGTATATTTGATTGTATCCTTCGATCTCATTTCATTATGTTATCTAGCATTTTTATTATAGTTTTAGATAATTCCAGCTCAAGTTATGTTAGTAATTGTAAACTTCCTTTTTAACAATTCTAAGGTGCTAAAGAACGTTAATATTTTAGGTTGGGTTAAGTTTTCCAGTTTTTCTAAGTAGATTTTTTTTTAAGAAAAATATATGTAAGTACATGGGCGTACCCACATGGGGGAGGGGGGAGGGGGTGGCTGGGAGGGGGCATAAATTTATTAAATCGGGTCGGGTCCCCCGTGCTTGTTTTACTATACACACTACACGAAGATTTAAAAAATCCGAATGTCCATTTTTATAAATAAAAATGTTTCTGTTGCACAATATTTATTATTGGCACACTGCACACAATATCAACCAGATTTTTTAAATACCTATATGTTAGATAAACGACTTACCCTCGATTTGCTTGGGTGCGTCCCTGGGTATCTACGTGAATTTTCTTCACAATTACATAGACTTTAATTTTTTTGCGTTACGAAAAATGGATGATGAGATTGAATTTTTTACGATGCGACAGATTTAAACTACAGTATCAAGTTAGTCGTTATTAACTACAGCGTTAATTTACTATATGATGTGTATATTCAAGATATTTATTCCGATATTTCTATATACAAAACACGTGTTTTATATCGATAAATATAAAAATTATTTATATTAGCTTTTATTTAGTTTCACCTGTTTCCCTACCTGGGTACGCCCATGTGTAAGTATTTTATATAGTATTATATTATGTAAATTATTTTATTGAAGTTCTCATATTATAGTGTATCTGTATACGTATGTACATGTAAATTATTATGATTTGATTAATATATCTGATGTAATTCAACACAATAAATTGTATTTTGTATAATAAAATTGTTTTATTTTATTCTAGAATGATCTTTAATAATTGTAATTGTTTTGCAACGTATATGAACTACCTGTTATCCATAACACAAGCCTCTTAGCTTACCATGGAAGTAGATGGTGCTGTGTGTTAATGTCCCAACATATTTATATGAAACTCCATCCTTTTTTAGAGTTCTATGTGTGGTTTTGGCAATATATTTTTTTGCACTGACGCATGCTTACCTTTGGAACGTTTGAATAACTAAAAGCTATCAAATGTTTAAATTTTACAATACTTTATTTCTCAATACTTTAATTAGGCTATTTACAGATGTAAATACTCACTGTTTCTGTGACGAAATAATTACATCGATAATTACGTGTAAAAAATGTACCGTGAATGTTGCACTGTCGAGACATACTTGTAATATTTGGCAAAGGACCGTTTTATATTTGGCTTATTGAGAGATTTAGTGGTGGGATTAGTTTATTTTGGATACGTCCAAACAAATTGTACAAGAGATAAACAAATCTAGTAATGACACTGGCAAGAAGGTCTTTTACACATCTGATTATATTTTGATATGTGGTAATACTTACGGTATTTACGGTAATTATGTATGTAAGTATATCAAAATTTTGCTTCTATAACACTTATAAGTTAAATCTCAAAACTAACTCTACACTAACTGACTGACACTGAAAGATTAGAAGCATAAAATTAGAGAAAAGTGTTTATTTTTAATTTAAAGCTTAGCATTACGAAATGATTTTTAAAAATTCATATCCAAAGAGGAATTTCCTTTTCTAATAGTTTTTGAAGTTAGAAGTGTTGAAATGATGGTTGTATTCAGCCTTTTCTAACGTTCCACTGATGAGCATGGGCCTCCCTTCAATACGAGGGGGATCAGGCCATAGTCCAGGAAATGATGTTTAAACTTTATAATTCCATCGAGCTTATATATGATAGTAAATTTTAAATCAGATTTATTTTTAGAAAGAAATGCCAAACACCATAACTGGACTCTGATAAATAAGATGAAATGCTTGCGAGTTGCTCTACCGCTGCGCGATGCGCTGCTACATACTAACAGACAAGTCGATATGACTAACTCTGGTAGGTAATGTTTGCTAACTTAACTAAGTCATATTGTTATTAACTATTAATTATATGGCTATTTAGTGTAGGAAATGGAATTATAATGTCTTTTGACCGAGTGATAAAACTATAATCGATGCAAAATTTCAAATATATCGATCCTGAAACAAAAATGCTGAAGAAAGTTTAATCGAATTGACAACTTTTTTCTTTGAAGTTGATTTTTGACGTATACTTTAAAGCTATAAATACTGACAATTCAGTTTTTAAGGCAATTACTAAAATACTTTGGAAATTGGTTACATGGTAATGCCTCCAGCTTTCATCACATCGGTCTGTCTAACTAAACTGGACAACTTATAACAGTGCAAGCGTGCGCAAACACACTCGCACCTTCTATGATAGTCCTTTCACTATCATAGTTCGGTGGGACGATTCCGAAATGACCAGTAAGTAAGCTTCAGGGATTGAAATGTCCAACTTTCCGCTGCTATTAAATTAGAATTTCTTGGCGGAACTAACCAACAACTGTTCATAGGATCAGGGATTCGTACCCAGAACATTTGGATCAGCAGTCATATATACTAGGGTAAAGTAAAAAAAAAACTTACTTTAGGGGTAGAATTTGTAGTTTATAAAAAAATATTTTTGTTAAATAAAAAAGAATTACTCACCATTTTGAGGTGACCCACTTATTTTTAAAATAATTTTAATTTTTGGTATGAATAGTTTTTTTTCTTCGATTGATCTCAACTGAACTATCTTTGAAAACATTCATGAATTGATGAAAAGTCATTTTCTATCCAACTTTTACTGTAATATTGTATTATTGCATTTTTTTTTAAAGTTTAAAAAATAACATCTTACTTTCTTGTATTACAGTTCAAAGAAATCAATCTTGGCCCAGTATCTATGAACCACGTAGAAACATAGGACCAGGGCTTAACTATTGCCTTTTTACCCTGTGTTGTTTTAATCCACGCTATCTTAATTTGGCTAATATTTTTAAAATTAGGTTTAATACTGTAGAATAAAAACCTATTTAAAACTGTTTAGCAGTTCTTGAGTAATGCGCGAGAGAATATTTTCAAAAAATAATAATAATAAACAATTAGAAACTCAATTACAATTATTTTATTTCTAAATATTTATCTACTATGTTATTTATATACGTATAGGTACGTTTTAACGTTTAGCATAGATTTCTCAGAGATGGGATATTTTCCCGCAGTGAAAAGTACCCGGATAACCAGTTGTCATCTTACCAAATTTCATCAAAATCTGTCCAGTGTCCAGTTCCCAGACAGACAGACAGACAGACAGACAAAAATTTAAAAAATATTTGGTCTCTGTATCGATAATAACGACTATTTCAATAAGATTTTTCAAAAAATATTTAATGTACAGATTCGGCTCAGTTAAAATTTTATTATATGGATAGAGAAATGTATGATAATTTAATTTTCTAAATATAAAGGAAAGATAAAGTTCCACGGTTATAATACTTAGAAATATAGGTGGCAGTTTAGTTCAGTCTAGTAAATGTACTATAAGCCAAGGAGATAATAATTTTAATTGTCAAGGTTGTTGAGTATATTTTGAGCTCGTTTCCGATTATAATGACGAATTCGTACTATTTAATTGGCTCCAGACATATCCGCTTTATGCATTTCTAATTATATATGTTGATTGATTTACAGTTTGTTAGTTTGCTTAAATTTTTCCTTTAATTTTCGTCTTTTTTCGCGAAATTCAAAATGAAATAACACTGAGCAGGCCACAGAGTTGTTTAGTAAAACTTAATTCTAAGGCTATTAACAGGAAGAAGTCTTATTCCACAGTCCACACACACACTTTGATCAGATTATACAAAAGTAGGTTTTGTAAATATTATAAACACTAAACAATATCAATATCACAAAAACAATAAAGTGCATGTTGATAAGTTATTTTTAATCTAGCAACAGATCGACAAGATTTTTTTATAGATATAATATATTGAAGAGCGACATGGCTTCTTTCTAATACATCAATATCGAATGGTCCTTGAAGGCTCTCCCTATCCAGAAACAATTATTAATTGTAGAGGCCTAATAAAATGACTTTAGGTGACTAATTACGAATAATTCCTATAAAAACTTCAAATAAAGGGCCCAAGAATGTGAGAAATGTGCATTCTCTAGGCAATATATTATCTAACGTTCAAAATACAGTCCTCAGTTATAGTGGTGTGACGGCGTGCGACGGACGCGCATACGCGAATACACGAACGACTTATTCGACTGTCGGGTTTCTGTAATACACGTTTGGATACCCCCGATCCCCGTCACCCTAACCCACCCCCACACGTGAACATATACACCGCGAGTGATACAAATTATAAAAAAAAACAACATTTAAATTATTTTATAAAACTGATACGTTTCATATGAAATTAAAAATTAACAAAAGATAAAATAAAATCTTGTCGTTTTTTAGTTATATTTTATCAGTTTGATTTTGTACGTGTTGGAAATGTTAGGTTAAAGTAAAATACAAAATAATTGAAGTAATATTACTTTAAAATCGATTTTTTATAAAAAACAGTCTTTACAGTATCAAAATTAAGTGCAACAACAATTAATCAGTAAACGTTTTTGGTGTCTTTCAAAATATAAAACAGTGATCGGAACGGTTGCGTATTCTATATCGTAAAGTGTACTACTGCTTTAATTCATATACTTTCCAATAGAATTTATGTAAGGAAGTTTTGTCAGCTTTATGAGTGCTATTTTATCTCCGTTGATTTGCTAAATAGAATCTTAGCACAAAGTGTTTAGAGTTTTCTCTCTTTTCTTCGTATTTAATGTCAAAATTACATAAACTTGCAAACAGCTGATCGTCAAAGATAGAAAAATGTAAAGAAAATTCTTAAATCTGTATATGTCAAGCACATAGATAACAGAGGCTGATTTTAGCTAAGATTAATCGGTCAATCAATCTGCGTGCATACGCGTCCTTGCCCCAGTGACGTGCCAAAGACGCAGACGCATTTAGCCCGATCTATCCGCTCTCGCCACCAACTTTCTTTTCCTCGAAACCAATCGATTATCGACCTAATTCTCAAGTACAAAGGGTGATTATATCGGAACATGTGCTTGTCATGTCTTCTAAACATTCATAGAGAGGTCCAAAGTATTATGAGCTTTACCGCCCTACAGTTAAGGGGCAGGTAGAGCTGAAAACTGGAGATCGATGGCGTCTGCGTTTCGCCTTCGTGCACTGACATTTAGATACGGAAAAAATATTTCGTTTGTTATTTTAGTTTCAGGTCCATTGTGATTCATTTTGACAGATTTTTTTCTCATTGAAAAAAATGTACTGCATCGTATTACATGTGATCATGTTTACGTTAAATATAAACAATTTTCTGCGCTGGACATCAAAATAATATATTGAATACTAGCATTGCCCGCGGCTCCGCCCGTGTTCAGATGACTAAAACCAAATTCTTAGGTTTTACATATTATTGTACTCTTACAATGCAGTTTTTGTATTTTTTCTCAAAAATGAGATATTTTCTCACGGTAACAAGTATCCTATATGTTGACCTGGATAACCATCTATTATCATACCAAATTTCATCAAAATCCCTCTAGTGGTTTTTCTGTGATGCGGTAACAGACAGACAGACAGACAGACATACAGACAAAAATTCTAAAAACTATAGATTCGGTCTCTGTATCGATAATAATGTTTATTTCATTAAGTATTTCCAAAAGTATTTAATTTTATTATATGTATAGATTAATATCCATCATCCTTATAAAGCGGATATAGCCATCTCATCTATTTAAGAATTTCATTCAGAATATTGATCTTTTCGACCGGAAAACCTCTACGTTAAATCATTTTTGAATATTTTCCCTCACTATTTGTTCAATATATATTGCTACATACCTTATAGTTTTATTTTCATTTGTTTACTCAATTATATATAGATATTTATCTAGTGATTCAGACGGCTAATTTATCCAAGCCAGCATCAAGTCGACATTTCCGTCAGTACTCGTCCGATGAGTGATTGATTTTATTGTCTTTCATACTTCAACTGCTTTCTCTACGACATCTACCCTCTGCTCAATGCTAAGATTTATCACTTCAGATGAACATTGTAAATGCGTTATACAATTTAGATGCATATTTTTGTTTCATTTCTGTTCCTTTTATTTTACTTATAATTTTATTTATCTATACTAATATTATAAAGCAGAGCTTGTTTGAACGCGCTAATCTCAGAAACTACTAAACCGACTTGAAAAATTATTTTTTCGTTACAAAGCCCGTTTATTGAGGAAGGCTATAATAGGCTATATATCATATAATATATAGTCTATTTACTCCATACTAACTCTTAATATATATAATTTGCGCAGTGTCAGCATTATATTTTAAGTTTAGAAGCATTATATTATTAAGCATATATATTAAGCAGAAGTATTATTAAGCAGAAGTTTTCAGCTATTTCATATGTACATAATATATGCTTGATAGACTGGAACGGACTAAATCTAGTATTTATCTATCTAGATCTGGTTGATTCACAGACTTTGATGCAGTTTGAATCATTACGATTAGCTGTTATTTCGAAAGTGTTTCAAAAAGTTCTCTTGTTTACGTTACAAGCATTATTACGTCTTCACAATCACGTTTTAGTGGTATAGTTTGAGATAAATGTTTGGAAGGGACAATATGTTCGTATTTTACGAGTATATTTAAACGTGTAATTTATAGTTGTCTTCATGAAATGTCACCGTCAATATCACGGCATTCCTATTTTAGTGTAAACATGTATACAGGGTGTCATTGAACGAAATTCTTTTGAAAGAATGTCGGATGTCCTCACTTATACTGACAGTTTCTTTCCTTGAATTTTCTTTTTCGCTTCATATTACCTACAGCTGTAAAATGTCATGGCTTTGGTCATTTAAAAAAGCTTTAAGCTATTTTTTTTAAAGCTTTCTCTTCTTTATTTTAAAAACGATCGATTTTCCAACTTCGGTTATAGAATATCGATTATAAGTACGATATAATTGGCATCAATTCGCTGGCAATTAATTGGTTTGTTTTTTTCATATTGTAAATATAGTCTATACCGTGGGAATATTAAATAATTCATTCTAAATTTATTAAAATAAAATTTTGAACTCTATATAATATGGTCGTTCCATAATCACTTAATTCTTAATAATACAAATAAAAATAATAATACAAAAATGTTAAATAATTATAAAACACAGGAGTACACCTATTTGCCTCTCAAACTCTACATAAAATAATTAACCTTATATTTATTCTTAAACAAATTATAACTAATGTGAAGTGATATTTTAGTGAATACAAAATATAGTGTTTTTTTTTAAATATACACTAAATAACACAAAATACACAATGGACATAAACACGACACACGACATCATGAGCAAAGAAGCGATAGGTTAGTGCATCAAAGTTTATCTGTAGTTAGTTTTGATGACACTAATCATATTTATGCAAGAAAAGAAACTGGGCACCAAATGTTGTATGCGAATCATTCTTAATAATTAGTGTATTCATAATTTATGGGAATATTATGTTGAAATTAGCGCTAATTTTATATTTTATTTTTTACTTTATTTTTATTTAATATATTTTTTTTTTATTTTGAATTATCTAATTATATATTTTGCGAAATCATTAACTTTATCAATAAAAATAATGATTTATTTATAATGATAAAATATTATATGTTTGTATATCCTCCTTGTATATGAATATTTTAATATATTACTTTCAAATATAATTTTTTAATTCTGCTATTAATATTATTTGAACAATATGTGATATAATTTGCTTTCGTAGAGAATTAAAATGTATTTAACACAACACACACCACACTAAACACATTTACTTCAATAGACGACTGAAGTGAACAAGTAGTTGTTACTCCTGTAGTAAATGCTAATATATGAAAATATGTATACACTATAAATATTTATGTAGAAATTATAACGCTTTAGTAGATTAGTTTAAAAAACTTAATATAATTTACACAAACTCTTTAATACACGTATCCTATCCGTATGCATCCTTTGTATAAAACTAACATTCCGACTAACTGTTACTTTTCCATATAACTTCCCTCTTATATTTGTATAATTGTATGAAATACTAAATCATCGTATATTATTTTCATTAACCTTCGTCTATCATTTAATTAAAATATTTATTTAATATTTTCTTAGATTTACGCGAATATTTGAAATTTTAAATAAAACTATCTTTTCGGATTTTAATGCGGATTTATTTTGATTTTTGATTCCCGACGTTTTTAATGCTTTAGAGCAATCATGGTCACGGGAGAGACGTCTGTCTCTCGAATGAATGAACGAAACGCGAAAAAATTTGAAAAGATAGTTTTATTTAAAAATATTTACTTTTTATTTCGCCAAACAATCTTTTCATAACTCTTTCTTTTATCACTTATACTATGTACTGTTATGTGGATTAGTAGTAGTCTCAATTTAAATAGTTCCACTTCAATCATTAAAATTTCAAATTCAAAGATTTTGGCACTTTATTTTGTTGCTTTTTAGTTATGTATTGTACTTAATATAAATACAATAAATAGTATATAATTATTGTTTTTTTAACATTCACTCGTGGCCAATTGATATAAGTTGTTACAGTATCAGGTGATCAGAATCAAAATTCGAATGACTTAATTGCTACAAAAATATTTAATCCTGTAACTAAATATTCTATTCTATGCTTAGAATATATTATATAATTTTTGATTTGTCATAAAAAAATGTTTGCCGGCTGCTCCTGAGAGTAGTACATATTTATACCGCTGTATTCTGAGCCGGTAGTTGCCTAATGGATAAACACTAATTCTTTAAAGTAATTTGATTATGATGAAAATGCTCACGAAAGTCTAATTGAACGAAATATATTTGGAGTATTTATATAATTATACATTATTATCGTAATCTTGATTTTGATAACTTATACTATACTCACATAACACTACATCATGCATCACCTATGATATCATGACCACGTATAATAGTAACTCTGAGACTTATCATCACTATCACTATCATCATCATCACCATCGCTATCATCATCATCATCACAACATACACGATCAGTGTGGTGACAAGTGCGGTGTTACACAGAGTTCGGCGAGTGGGTGAGCAGGGTCGCGGTACCAGCGCTGCGCAAGCGGCGGCACAGTGAGCGACGCGCGAGGGCGATCACACTGCGGGATATTATGGAAGTGAGTATGGGATCAGTAGATTTTACGTGGTTATAGGTTATTTTCTGGGAATTGATTTGGGTTTGTGCTTAGTATTACAATGAAAAAAATGTATTACATATAAAAATGAAAGTTTGTTTGTATTACAATGAAACGCCAAAGCGTTGTAAGGTTAATTGAATTTATAAGTATTTCAATGTACCTAGTTTTTGTTATTTTGGACACAAGTATGTATGTAAAAAATGTCTTTGGTATTTGAAAGAAAAAAATGCAATGATTTTATAACAAATTTATAGTAATTTGATAATATAATTGTATAATTTTTTCGAAATCTCCGTGATGGTAACCTATCTCATTGTGGCTATTATCTACGTACCTAAGTGGTAAAGAGTACGCAAATACGTATAAAGCGGCTGCCATGAGAAATATCAGGCAGGATTGATCAATCGATCTATATGTATCGATTGATCTACATATATTGTTGGGTGATAGATACACTACCAACATCTGTTCAGAATTTCTTTCATAAATATTTTGGTTCGAAACGAGACTCGAACTCAGGAACTCGTTATCAACAACCGTATTAGCTAACTAATCTAAGTACCTAATGACTAGAATAATGCAACGATTTAATAATGATTAATATATCATATTTAATTGAATTTTATACACGGAGCTTACGAGACGTACTTGTTGATGATGTGCATTGTTCCTAGGGCGTTCAGAAGAGTAGAATATAATTTAATTAAATAAAATCTATACTTATATTATAAAGAGGCAGCGCTAATTTCAGGAACTACTAATCCGATTTAAAAATACTTTCCGCATTAGATAGCCCGTTTATTGAGGAAGGCTATAGACTATATATCTTATATGCTAATATTAAAAAAAGGTAAAGCTCGTGAGCTTGTGATGTTGTAAGGCGTAATCTCTGGATCTACTGAACCAATTCAGATGAAATTTGGTAAGAAGATAGTTTGAGACCCTGAGAAAGACATAGGATACTTTTTATCCCGGAAATCATCCTTTAAGGGGGTGAAAATGGGGATGAAAGTTTGTATCGGAAAACAAGCTAGGGACGAACACGGGCGAAGCGAGGGCGAGTCGCTTATTAAGTATATGAGTGTAAAATAAGACTATAAATACCAAATTTCAAAGAAAATAATTCAATTTAGTTAATCAAAATATAAGTTACTAGCGTCTGACCTTCGCTTGACTCGGGTTCGCCTCTAAAAAAAACAAAAACAAATCTATCCCTCGCGAACCGTATATTTTCTAGGATAAAATGTAGCCTATGTGTTATTCAAGACTATAATCTATTTCTGTGCCCAATTTCATTCAGATCCGTTCAGCCGTTCTGGCGTGAAAGATTAACAAACATCCATACATACTCACAAATTTTCATATTTATAATATTAGTATAGATTGTACATATACTTTTATAGTTCGATCAAAAGCTTCAAAAGCTCAATAAATATAATGATACAATTGTAAGACTATTGGCCTTAATTTTATGAATCATAAACTGGACCTATTCAAAGTTAGGGCACACAGTAAATCATACGATGACGCAAAACACGTGCAGAACGCATCACGGCTATATCTGAACAGTCTAAATATTTTATAGATTGGTCATTTCAAAACAAATACACTGTGATCGATGGTTTTTTTACCGCTTTAGTTGCATTTCGACATTGCGTTCAACCGATTTGAATAGGTAGAAGTAATTTTTGTAGTATTTTTATGTGTGTTTTAAGCAATATTAATGCGAATATTTTTTTTATTCGTGTGTATGGTTGATTAATATAATGTAATATTTTATCCGATTTACATTACCTTTGAAGTATTTTTGAAATCGTTTTATTGAAGTGAAACTTCTTTAGAATTGATGTGATTTAAAACTCGATGAAACGAAAATGCGATACTAAAAAGAGACAAACACATAAATATATAGGATTAAGCTGGCGAGAGAATGAGATAGAATACATTGCCATGTGGCCATGGTAACCGTTGTTATGCTCGGACTAATAAATAATATTTTATAGATGATATTCTATAAATATATGAATTGTTATATGCCTTATTTAATGTTTGTTTTAAAGTTTTAAGGCATCATTATTATTTTACAATAGTTAATTTACCTTATAAGCCACAGATCGTAGGTACTATTTCCATGAAGAGATATATGTACTATACCCAAAGAAACTTACTTACTCGTACATCAAAGATTCAGTATAAACATTTACAATTAACTAGTTTTATAGTTGTTTCATCGCTAGCCGCTCTCTTTATTTTAACGTTGTTATTTCTGCGGTAGACTTTCATGTGGTGTCCGGTTGTTAAATGTAATGTAAATTTTTTGACCCCATTTTAAATAAAACTATCTTTTCGGATTTTGTCGCGGATTTATTTGTATTTTTGTTTCCCGACGTTTCGAATGCTTTACAGCATCCATGGTCACGGGAGAGACTGAGGTGTTACATGTCTTAAAGATATAGTTGTTACAGACAGCCTACCCACAATTAACAAAATGAAAATTGCATCAATTACATTACAATATTTTAACTTTAAATATTTTTATAATTTTAATTATAATTGAATATGGAAAATTATTTATTTAATTTTTGCTATTATTTTTATAATTATTACAATTTTAAAAATATTAATTAGCAATCTATATTTAGTGTTGCCATTATTATATTTATAACCATAAGAAAAATATAAAATATAGTATTAATTATTTAAGCCACAATTGATCTATGTGTAATTTGAAAAAGTTAAGATTAATTAAAAATAATAATTTTAATTTAAATTTGCTATTATTTAAAAAACAAATTATTAAGCAACACATTACTACATACATTTACAAATGAAAAAGTGAAAAAATATTATTAATCAGAAATGCTATCATTTTGATCTACACAGTAAGAACTTACTACATCTACCTGTCTGTTATGTTTAGATTTATTATTAGATTTTATTATATTAATAACAGGATCCCATGACGATGGTAGTACCCAGCCATCTTCCCTATTGAAATTAGGATGTTTTTTAATTTCTATGGCTTCTCGAATCATTCTAGGGCGATATCGGTTTTCTTTCGCCAGGATTTGAGGCCTATCGAAGCGAATATAATGGCTTGGGCGGTCCTGACTGTGTTTGCAGACAGCAGATGTTGTATTGCGACGGTGCTTCACATCAGCTATGTGTTCTTTGACCCGGGTTCTAATGGATCTCTTTGTTTGTCCGATGTAAGAGAGCCCACAATCACAATCAAGCTTGTAAACTCCTGCATCTTGTAGAGGGATGTGGCACTTGACAGGTGGTAGAAACTGACTAATTTTCTTTGGCGGCTTGAAGTAAGTTTTAATTGAAGCTCGCTTTAGAATGTAGCCAATCTTGTCAGTGACGCCTCTCATGTAAGGTAGGACTGCAGGGACGCGCTCGACTGTGGCTGGTTTCACTCGGTCCCTGTGACGTAGGCGCGGCACTTGCAGCTTGTTGTCTCGCAGAACTTGCTTGACATGTTGCAGTTCTCCGGCCAGGTGTTGCTCGTCACAGATCCCGCGTGCCCTCTGAAACAAAGATTTTCCCACGGTAGCTAACTGTGAAGGGGGGTGGTGAGATTCACCATTCAAGTACCTATCAGTATGGGTCTTCTTTCGATACACACTATGACTCAAGGTGTTATCTGGGTTACGTATGACTAATACATCTAAGAAAGCTAAAGAATTATTAGACTCCAATTCCATTGTAAATTGTATTTTAGGGTTTATGGAGTTAAGATGTTCTAAGAATACAGATATTTTATCAGATGGTAATATTGTGAAAGTGTCATCTACATACCGCTTGTAGAAACGAGGGGTCACAGGTGATGTGTTTAGGGCGGTCTCCTCGAAGGCCTCCATGAAGATGTCAGCTACAACGGGAGAGACCGGCGAACCCATGGCCACTCCATCCACTTGCTTGTAGAATTCATCATTCCACAATAGATAGCCAGATGTAAGGCAGTGTTTCAAAAGTTCAGTGTATTCTTCTTGCATACTATTATCCCGTAGCTTTCTTGATACTATTTTGACACAGTCCTCTACTGGTAGGTTGGTGAATAGAGACTGTACATCAAAACTGACCATAGTTTCATTGTCCATGAGTTGTAGATGTTTTATCTCATTGACAAAATGGTATGAGTCCCTTGTAAACGCTGATGTTTGTCCTCTGAGTGTTGAGAGTACTTTCGCTACTAGTTGGGCCAATTTATAAGTCGGTGTGTCGATTTGACTCACAATTGGACGTAGCGGAGCGTTAGATTTGTGTATCTTTGGAAGTCCATACAGTTTAGGCGGCTTTGCACAAGATGGAACAAGATTTTTGACATCAAGATTCAATGCATCGGAGTGTTTCTTAATAAGCTTTTTAGTATTATTTAACACAGTGGTGGTTGGGTCTGTTTTGACCTTTTTATATGTACTTTCATCCGACAAAAGTTGTTTAATTTTCTCATTGTAATCTGATGTATCCATCACGACGGTGGCATTTCCCTTGTCTGCGCGTAGTATGATAATGTCTGACCTGCTGCGTAAGTTCTTCAACGCTAAATACTGTTGTTTGTTGAGATTAGGCTTGGGCCTTGAGCTACGACGTAACAAAGATGAAACATCTTGACGTATGGCCTCCATATCCTCAGATTTCATAGTATTTTTGGCCAGAGCATCTTCAACTGCACAAATAATATTCTCATAAGGGATGCGTGTCGGCGCAACAGCAAAATTTAAGCCTTTACTTAGTACTTGAATAGTAGATTCGTCCAATGTTTGTTTTGACAGATTGACAACTGTTTGACGTACGCACGAATTTGAAACTGTGGTAGACGGGCGCGTTCCGTTATTGTTTTTGGTTTTCTTTTTGATGTTATATTTCTCGACTAATTTTTGGTATTTTAATATATGTTTGTTTTTGCATTGGTTAAATTTAGATGTTT